TACTTCTTCGGCCGGAGCAGGGCCTTGAAGCGCATGCTCGCGCGGACGACGGAGACGCTCGTGTCGATCTTGTACTCCGCGGGCACGCCGGCGGCCCAGTTGCCGTCGTGGACGATCGCGCCGGACGCGTCGGTGAACGCGCCGCAGCCCTCGGGGACGTCGTTGGCCCAGAGCCCCGCGTGGCGCCCGCCGGCGGCGTAGCGCAGCTCGCCGTAGCCGCAGCGCTTGCCCTCCTTGAACTGGCCCGTGTAGACGTCGCCCGTGAGGTACGTGAGCGTGCCCCAGCCGTCCCGCCGGCTGTCGCCGTCGAGGTCGCCCACGTAGGCGCCGTCGACGCGCTCGACGGCGCCGTAGCGCTTGCCGTCGCTCAGCGTCGAGACCTCGTCGGGCGCCGCGGGGCCGGACCGCTCCTTGACGACCTCGTAGCGCACGGTCATGCTCGTCTTTGGGCCGTGGTGCGACGACGCGCCGTGGTGGCTGCCATGGGCTGCGCCGAAGGCATGGGTCGCACCGCAATGGCCATGCGACGCGCCGAGGCCGCCGGAGCGGCTCGACGACGCGCCGGCGCTGGGATAGTAGGAGCTGCTGGGATAGTCATTAAAGCTGCCCTGTTCGGGCCGCACCGCGAAGGTCCAGAGCGGCGCCGCATCACGATCCGGCATCAGACGAACGGGGCAACGTACAAAGAGCTCGAGGCAACCACGACATAGTATCTTTCATTTAGGTAGGTCATCAGCCTTCACCCCCCCCGACGCGATGGAGCTGCCACGCCCTGGCATCTTCGCCGTCACCCTCGTCGCATTTTGCGGCGTGTTCGGGGTCGTGCGCCACGCCCGGCGCGCCGCGCCCACCGTCGCGCTCTCGGCGGACGCCAGACCCTACGAGTGGGGCAGCCCCAACAGCGTCAAGCTCTTCAAGCGGACCCACGCGTCGACGCACCCGCAGCGCGACGGCTGGTTTCTGTCGCACTACATCGGCGTGGAACAGACGGCGGCCGAGTTCTGGAGCAACGGGAGCCAGTACTCGAGCAAGATCTACAGCGGCTCCGCGGACAAGAAGGGCCTGCTGTACGAGACCGCGTGCGGTCTCGCGAACGCGAGCTGCTGCGCGGAGCGCGCGTCCATGACGACGCTCGGCACGTTCACGTTCCACCAGTTCCGCTCCTGGGTGACGCCCACGGGCGACGCCCGCGTCGAGGACTGGGTCGGCTTCTGGAACGGGCTGAGGGAGTTCGACGTCGCGTCGACGCGCCCGTACGACTGGGACGCGTACATGCACCTCGCGACCCACTTCTACACGCCGAATCTGGACGCCCACGTGCGGCGTCTCGTCGAGGAGAAGGTGCCGTTCCTCGCGCGGCACTACGCGAACCGCGGGCAGGCCATGTTCGTCGCCTACGTCAATAACCCGTTCAACGGCCACGTCTTCGCCGTCCACGGCGCGCGGCTCAAGGACGACCTGCGGGAAACCTATTTCTCACGAAACGTCGACGACGACCTCCACGCCTGCCCCGGCGCGGCCAAGGTCGCCTTCTCCCGGGAGCGCCTCGAGGACTGGTGGCTCGGCCTCAACGGCACGGCGAAGAACGCGGAGACGGGGCTGCCGGACGTCCTCGCGGTCGTCGTCGCCCAGCCGACGGCCGACGCCGCCGCGACGCGGCGCGCGCTCGACTCCGCGGGGGGCTTGGCGCTGCTGCCGTGGAATTTCACGGCGAACCGCCGGGACCAGTGCGCCGTGCTCGAGGCGACGCTGCCGACGGGGAAGCTCGTCAAGAGCGGGACCCTGGGCGACGACCAGGCCTACGCGTCGCTGCGCTTCGTCGAGGTCGGCGGCGCGCGCGACGGCGGCCGGCCCGTCGCGGACTACGTCGCCGTCGCGGACGGCAACGTGAAGTCGTTCATGGGCGCGAACGAGGGCTGGGCGCGGTTCTTAGATTACCACATCGGGCTCAACGTGCCCGGCGTCCTCGACGACTACCGCGCGCCGCTCGACGCGGTCGACGCGCACTACCACGCGCACGTCGCCCCCCAGTCGGGCACGCCCGACGACGGCTCCATCTTCGCCGAGGGCGCGTCGGGCCTGTGCGTGGAGCTCCACGGCGTCTTCAACTACACGGCCTTCGACCCGGAGCCCCTCGGGAGCCTGAACTTCTGCGCCGCGGACTCGACGTGCGCCAAGGGCGTCGAGCTCTGCTCCGGCGACGTGCTCCACCAGGCCTACCCGGGCTACCGCGTCTACGCGACGAACGCGTCGGCCTGCGACGGCGGCGCGGGCGACTGCGCGCACTACGCCGTGAGCGGGGCGGACCGGGTGTAACATGTTAGTTTTTGATAAAATGGAGCGTGAGGTTGTTCGCGGGCATGGGGATTTTCGCGGCGAGCCGGAGGCCGCGCTGCGCCGCGAGGGCCGCGAGGTCGCTGACGTCGCGGAGCCCCCAGGCGCCGTTCGTCGACCGGAGCTTCGCGTCGAAGCGCTCGTTGCCCGCGCCGCCGTCGTCGCCGACGAATGCGCCGTCGACCTTGAACGGGCCGTACGCGCACAGGTGGCCGCCGGGCTTGAGCGCCCGGGCGGCGTGCTCGAAGAGGCCCTCGGAGCAGGCCCAGGGCGTGATGTGGAGCGTGTTGGCGCAGATGACGAGCGACAGGGACGCGTCGGCGACCGCCGCGGGCCACGGCTCGCGCAGGTCGAGTGCGATCGCCGGCAGGCAGTTCGGGAAGATGGCGCGGCCGTGCGCGTCGATGTTCGCGAGCTCGTCGAGGCCGGCGCGCAGGCCGATCTTGCCGTGCTTCGACCACTGCTCCTCGGGCGCCGCCGCCGCCGCCGGCACGTACTCCGACGGCCGGAACGTCAACGTCGGGAAGCCCGGCGCGACGACCTCGAGCAGCGCGCCGGTGCCCGTCGCGATCTCCAGCGCGTCGCCCGCGATGTCGTCGGGGAGGATGACGAGAAGCGCCTTGAGGATCGGGATGCGATTGCGCAGGGCGCTGGGGTGGTGCTGCTGGCCGGCGACGTGCGCCGTCGGATCGGAGACGTGCGCCGCCATGTGCTAGAGACAACGTGGGTGCTGTGGGCGTTGTGGTCGACCGGTCAGGCACCTGGCTGGGCTGCTTCAGTGTCGTCTCGAGGCACGAAAGCCCCGGATCCAACCCTCCATTTTCTCAATTCTCGCGCTGTGCCGAGCTCCAACGAGGTCGAGGGCGTCATTTTTTTACAACGCCGGCTCTTTGGGGGGAGTTGCGACCTCCTGGCGACCGCCATAACCCCACCTTCTGCGCGCGTGCGTGCCCATTCTCCCGAAAGTTTAGGAAGCTGCACACAACTGTCGTTGCTGAATCGCTGTTTTTTTTTGCAGAAAACCGATTATTCTGCGGCAAGCTGTTCAAAATGAAAAACGGCCGTTGTCCGACGAATCGCAGCCGAGTTTGAGGGTTGAGGCCCGCGTCGAGTAGAATTGGCGCCCACTGTTGCGGGGTTGTCGCTCCTTGACAGAAACCGCGGCGACGCGCCGACGCCCCCGGGGTTTGGGTCTCCTCGAAACGCTCAGCGCTCCGGCGCCATGGTGCGCGCGTGCGCTCTCATCGCTTCACTGTTTGTCGTTGTCCGCGCGGCAGTCAGCGGCGGCGGGTGGTCTTCGACCCCCCGGTTCGGCCCCCGGAAGACGGTGGACCTCGTCGGCGGCGCGACGGACGACGCCGAGTCCGACGCCCAACGCGAGCGCCTGCGAGATTCCGGTGTCCCGCGCGCGGCGCGCCGGCGGCGACCCCGTTCTGAGCGACCGGCCGCCGCCGCGCGCCCGCTCCCCTCCCCCCCCGGCCGGCGCCCCCGCCGCCACAACACCGCTTCCGGGACGCGGGGCTCGCCCCGCTCGAGGGGCGGCACGGGCGCCGGGCCCCAGTCCAGGGCGTTCGGCCGTTCCGACCGAGCGGCCGCCGCCGCCGCAACCCGCACCCCCGCGCCCCCAAGGCCCCCTCAAACCGCACCCCCTTCATCAGGTACGAGGCCTACAACAGCCTGCACTCGCTGGCGAACACGTACAAGAAGCCCTTCGACGTGCCGTCGGTCGTCGTCATCGGCGCGCAGTCGAGCGGCAAATCGGCGCTCGTCGAGGCGCTCATGGGCTTCCAGTTCAACGAGGTCGGCGGCGGCACGCGCACGCGGCGGCCCATCGCGCTCCAGATGCACTACAACGCGGCCTGCGACGAGCCCGCGTGCTACATCATGGACGAGCGGTTCTCCGGCGGCGAGCCCGTCGACGGCGGCGCGCCGTTCGAGCGCCGCGCGACGCTCGCGGAGGCGCGGCGCTTCATCGAGGAGGAGAACCGGCGCCTCGAGCGCGACCAGCACCGGAGCTTCGAGGCGCGGGAGATCGTCATGCGCGTCGAGTACCGCCACTGCCCGAACCTGGTGTTGGTCGACACGCCGGGCCTCGTCGGCGGCGGCGGCGACGTCTTCGGCGACGACTTCGGCGAGGAGTCGCACGAGTCGCCCCACGCGCGGGGCATGAAGCGCCAGGCCCGCGAGGCCTACGAGCTCGCCCTGGGCAAGGCGCGCGCGCGGAACGCCGTGCTGCTCTGCGTCGACGACGGCAACGACTGGAAGCTCGGGTCCATCGCGCGGCGGCTCTGCGCGGACGCGGACCCGACGCTGAGCCGCACGGTCGTCGTCTCGACGAAGCTCGACACGAAGCTCGTCCAGTTCGGGTCCGGCCGGGACGTGGCGTCCTTCCTCCGGGCCAAGGTGCTCCACGACCTCCACCCGCGGCTGCTGGCGGGCCCGTTCTTCACGTCCGTGCCCTGCGGCCGCGTCGCGGGCGCGATCTCCCCGGGCGGCGACGCCTGGGACCCCCAGGGCGGCGCGCCGGAGAACCAGCCCTGGGACCTCGACGACGAGGGCTTCTACGAGGACGACGGCGTCGCGTTTAGGGGCGACGCGGAGTTCCGCGCCGCGACGGCGCGCGCGTCGCGCGCGGACCGGTCGCTCGTCAAGTCCAAGGTCGGCTTCGAGTTCTTCGACAAGGCGGCGCCCCAGCTCGGCGTCGGCGCGCTGCGCCAGTTCCTCGAGCGCCACGTCGAGCTCCAGTACCGGTCGAACGTCGCGCGGGTCGTGCCGCTGCTCCGGCAGGAGCGGCTCCGGACCGAGGCCGCGCTCGAGGCGACGGACATCGAGCTCGACGCGCTGACGCCGGAGAAGCTGCGGCGCTCGGCGGAGACCATCGCGGACAAGTTCTGCCGGTCCCTGAGCGCGGCCGTCGCGGGCTCGGTGTCCGCGCCGCCGGACGTCTACGGCGAGCGCCTCGCGGACGAGCGGCTCAACGGCGGCGCGTTCCAGGCGCCCGCGGAGTCCGCCGCCGACCAGGAGGGCCTCTTCGACGACCCGGACCGCGCGCGCGTCATGCGCGGCGGCTTCGGGCTGAACCCGCGCGCGCCGCGGCGGCCGACGTCGCGGTCCGCGTTCGCGACGGCGACGGCGCCGGGGCTCGCGTCCACGCCCGGGTCCTTCCACCAGCCCCCGCCGCCGGGCCCCGGGGACGCGTCCATGCAGCTCACGCTGTCCCAGACGGCCCTGGACGGGGCCGTGGGCCACGCGGACGCGAACCTCTACGGCGGCGCGCAGTACCGCCGCGCGCTCCGCGAGTTCGCGCTCGCCGTGCGCCACCTGTCGCTGCCGTCCGTCGACGGCGACGAGATCGCCAACGCTTTGGGCGTCGGCGACGCCCACGACGGCGCGGACTTCGTGCGCGCGTCCTGCGTCATCGCCGTCGACAAGGCGCGCCGGTCCTTCGAGCCGCAGCTCCAGACGCTCGCGGAGCGCGTGAGCCACGTCATGCGGCGCCTGCCGCCGGTCATCGAGTGCATGATGGAGTCGCAGCCCGGCCGCGCCTTCGGCACGTCCGGGCCGCGGTCCGGCCGCAAGGGCGACGTCGTGCTCACGGGCGACGCGTCGGGCCCCTACGACGGCGTCATGCAGCTGATCGCGTCCATCTACGACACGTACGTCCACGAGCTCGCGGACCGGGCCGTCGCGCGCTGCAAGGACGACCTGGAGGCCATGACGCGCTTCGTGACCTGGGACCTGGCGTCGTCGTCCGACGCCAAGTCCGCCGTCAAGGCGGCGCTGGAGCCGACGCCGGACCTCGCGCGCGCGTTGGACGACCTCGACGGCGCGCCGCCGCGGAAGCAGAAGCGCCGCTCCAAGGCGAACAAGTGGTTCTCCGCCAAGGACGAGGTCGCCGTCGAGGCGTCGGTCCTCGACGACTGGAAGCGCTCCGTCGCCGACGAGGACAGCGACGTCGCGCTCTCCAGCGACGAGCTCGTCGAGGCGCTTGGCGCAGCCGCGCGGCGCGCTGAGCCCCGTGGCGACGCCCACGGAGATCGTCGGGTCCCTCGTGCGCCGCATCGCGGCGGCCTGGCGCGAGCACTTCGCGCGGACCGTGGCCGTCAAGTTCAACTGCTTCTTCCTCATGCCGTTCGTCGACGACTTCCCGCTCTACCTCCGGGAGAAGCTCGACGACCACGTCCACACCCCCGAGAACGGCGGCGACGGCGCCTTCGCGCTCTTCGACGTCGCGCGGGCCCGCGCGGCCCTCGAGAAGCGACGAGACGACCTGCGCAACGAGCTCGCGGCGAACGCGAAGCTCCACGACACGTTCGACGCGATCCAGCGCGCGTGCGCCGAAACCGCCCCCTCGCCCTAGCCCTCGCCGTCGTTCGCCGCGCCGGCGGCTGACGGCGCGAGCCCCGCTCCCCCCCCCAAACCCCCCAAGCACGCCACGAGCGCGACGGCCACGGCCGGCGCCCCGGAGCCCGCCCGGGCCGACCGCCACCCCGGGCCGCTCCGCGCGCGTCTCGGCGGACACCGCCGGACGCCCGGCGCCGGCCGACCGTCGCCCGCTCAGCTAAGCCCCTGTGTCCTCGTTGCGGTGGTCGCGATTGACTAAGCAATTTGACTTCAACGTGAGGGCTATGGTGCACCCATGGTGCTGCGATTCGCACAGACAAGCGCGGTGTAAACCTGAACAACCAACACCTCGGCGAGCGCGATCTCGAAGGACGTCAGCGCGTAGCCGTCGACGCCGAGGGCAATTGCCGATATGAGCGCTTGCGACGCGTGCGGTAAGGAAGGCGCGAAGCTGAAGTGCACGCGGTGCCGGACGACGCGGTACTGCGATCGCGATTGCCAGGCCGCGCACTGGAAGAGCGGCCACAAGGCGGCGTGTGGCGCGGCGGCCCCGGCGCCCGCCGAGGCCCCGGCGCCCGCCGAGGCGACTCCGTCGCCCGTCGAGCCGCTCGACGAGTCGAGCTTCGACTGCGCGGTCTGCCTGCAGCTGCTCTGCGAGCCGACGACGCTGCCGTGCGGCCACAGCTTCTGCCGCGGCTGCGTCGCGGACGCGCTCACGGCGGCGGCCGCGCGGTGCCCCGCGTGCCGGTCGGCCGTGCCCGCGCGCGTCGCGGGCGACCTGCGCGTGAACCGCCTCCTCGAGCAGGTCGTCCACGCGCGAGCGCCGGACGCGTACGCCGCGCGCCGAGCCGCGCTCGCGGCGGCGCCGCGGGCCGGGGCGCCGGAGCCGCCGTCGCGCTGGACGGTCGTCGCCGACCTGCTGTCGCCCGCGTCCCTGGCCGTCCTCGCCCTCGTCGACGTGCTCGGCGCGCCGGTCGCGGTGTCGTTCGAGGGCATGACGTACTGCGACGACAAGCGGCGGCCCGAGTGGGCGCGGCCCGAGGCGCCCGGCACGGGCGTCCCGCGCCTCGAGTGCCGCCCGCGCGAGGGCGCCCCGGTCGTCGTCACCGAACCCGCGAGCATCATCCGCGCGCTCCTCGAGCTCTACGGCGAGGGCCGCGTCGACGTCGGGCCGTCGCCGTCGAAAGCGTCGGCGGGCCTCGTCGACCGCGTCCGCGGCGAGCAGCTCTTCGACACGGCGTGGACGATGCTCGTCAACCCGGTGTCGCAGCACCTCTTCTGTGCGGTCTGGGATGGCCACTGCAACGCGCCGGGGACCCGGGGGCTCGTCGACGCGCTCGAGTGGGTCGACCGCACCGTCGGGCCCGCGGTCGCCGCCCACGCCGGGCCGCGGCGGACCGTCCTCGAGATCACCGTCGGCGCGCCGCTGCTCCTGCTCCGGCTCGTCCAGGACATGGTCCTCGACGACGCGCTCCAGGTGCGGCCGGGGCTTCGGGCCTTTGTGGCGCGCGTGGAGCGGTCGGACGTCGGCCAGGCCGTGGCGCGCCGCGTGGGCGCGTCCCGCCATCTGCAAGCGTACCGCGAGAGGGTGAGGCGCGGCATCGGAATGGCAGTCATCATGCTCAGCGGCCAGACCCCCGCATTTGACGAGAGAGCAGCGTCGAAACTTGTCCGCCCCACGTTCCCGTATCACGACAACAACCTGGGCTCCGCCAGCGACGGCGCGGAGTTCTACCGCCCCACTTCCGATTTGGGCAAAGAGGAGCTTTTCGAAGACTACCTCAGGCGCTACGACAACGACAAGAGCGACTATTAGGGGCGCCACCGTGTAAAAAGTGTGCCACCGTGACCTTCAGCTTCGAATTCCGCACATACAAGCTTGCAGCGACGGCGACCGGCAAGCACAAGGTGCTTTTAGTCGTCCTCACCGGACGACACGCGGATGTGTCCTCGCCCGGGTCTTGCGATTGCCTTGCGCGGTCGGAGTCGCGATCGCGATCGTGCGGTGTATCGTGCGCGCGGCCAGTTGCTGCCGTCAATTTGAAGACTTCAGTTCCGGCGCGCTCGGCCAGACTCTGACCCCGCCGCGTCTCGGCTCGAGCTGCTGCGACGCGCCCCGTGGCACTGCGGGCGACTCGGACGACGCGCGCGCCGCCGCGGACGACGCGCGCGCGGCTGCGGACGACGCGCGCGCGGCTGCGGACGAAGTCGCGGAGTTTCGCAGTCGCAGGCCCGCCTGACTAAGTCAGATGGAACCGGATCGTAAGCGGCAGAAGCAGCTTGAGAGGGAGATCGAGCGCCAGCGACGTTACGTCGAGGAATGGCGAGAGGAGAACGAAGCGACTGCGAATCTCTGGCTGGTCTTTACATACCCCGTCGAGGGCGGCGAGCAGTTTCGGATCCCGACTCGCCGCGAGTTCATCTCGTACTATTCCGGACTAGTCCGCGGCGCGCCGGACCCGACGGATGATGAGGCAGATGATGAGTTCCCCCTAATCGGCGACTTCCTACCCTCGACAGTCATAGCATTCGCGCGGTCTTGCTTGCCGAGCCCAACAGGGCTGCAACTTTATACGCGGCATGATTCATACCTCCGTCTTGTTTTACTTTCACATTACTTGGATGCGCCGATCCTGATGAATCACTGGTTAAAGGAGCTACAGCAACTGAAAGGCGATCTACAAGTAGGTTCCGCATCCAATTTTCAGTTGATGTTTGCTCTGCGAGATAAGGGCCTGATTTACGATATGAGCGAGCGCAGTTTGGAGCGCTTTAATAATGTGTATCACGGATTCAATGAGACGGAGAAGCTAATATACCACAAGCACGCGCATCAAATATTCAGTGAGAATTATGAAGTTTGCCAAAAGAATCTTGAAAAGCATGAAAATAAATGGACTGAGTGGGACGAGGAAATACCGCAACTTGAAATCCCAGGAGGCGATTATGAAAATTATCCAGGAGATGATTGCAAAAAACTTTACGAGCATATTGGCAAAGGATATGACATGATGGGGGACTATCAGCGGACTGGAGAATCACTGCTTAAGCTTGTCGAGGCGTTGCTCGCCATGCCCCGTCCCGCGGCGCCGCCGTCGCGCGCGTAGGAGCATGCGTGCTTACACGGGTCTCGGGGGCGGACGGCGTGTTGTGGAGGAGGGCCGCGTAGCTCGGGTTCGGCGCGAGGATGGCGTAGTAGGCGAGGACGTCGCCCACGGGCCGGCCGAGCTCCACGCCGTGGACCACGGCGACGGCGGAGAAGTACGTGTCCGTCTCGCGGACGCGGCGCTCGAGGACCTCGGGGTCGTACAACGCCACCTTCCTCCAAGCCCACCCAGACGAGCGCAGCGATAGGCAAGCACAGGTGTTACTAGTCGTCCTCCGCGGACGACACGCGGATGTGGCCCGGCGCGTCCTCGGCGTCGACGTCGTAGATCTCGTAGCGGCCCTCGTCCTGGAAGATGTGCGTGAAGACGTCGCCCGCGCACATGATGTCCGTCTCGAAGGCGAGGGTCCGCGTCGCGGGGGTGCCGTCGAGCACGCGGTCGCAGCGGAACTGGTACTCGACGTAGCCGAGCTCGTCGGCGTCGATGACGACGGCGAACTCGACGCCGGGCGCCGTGCGCGCCTTCGCGGGCGCGAAGGTCGTGTCGTGGACGACCATCTCCGCGTGGCAGCCCGACACCGTCGCGGGCGCCTCGGGCTCGGGCTCGGGCTCGGGCGCCGCGCGCCGCGGCGGCGGCGGCGCGGGCCCGTCCTCGTCGGAGTCGTCGGCGAAGGACGACGCGTTCGAGTCCTGGCGCGGCGGCGCGGGCCGCGCGGGCGCGTCGTAGCGCCGGTCGATGGCCTCCATCTCGCGCGCGAATTCGTCGCCGGCGCGTCCGGCCGCCCGCGCGGGCTCCGGCTCCGCGGTCGCCGGCTCCGGCGCGCTCGCCCGGGGCTTGTCGGCGGTGGGCTTCTGGGGCGTCAGCGTCGGGGGCGTCGCGCCGCCGAAGACGGGCGCGGGCCGGTCGGCCGAGTAGAGCGGCTTCCGGAGGCCCGGCAGGGGCATGGCGAGGTGGCTCGGCTGCTCCCGCGCGGCCTCGACGGCCCCAAAGTCGCCCGCGTCGCGCGCCTCGTCGAGCATGGAGCGCAACCGCGAGAACTTTTTGGCGCCGGCCCGCTTCGGCGGCGACTCGGCCGTCTGCGGCCGCTCGCGCGCGGACGGCTTGGGTCGGTTCGCCATGAGCGCCATGCTCTCGTAGACGGCGCTCATGCGCCGCTCCTCGGCCTCGGCGCGGAGCCGCGGGTCGTTGCGCTCGCGCTCCGCCTCGGCCTCGGCCGCGCGGTCCGCCTCCTCGAGCTGCCGCTCCTCGAGCCGCCGGAGCCGCTCGGCCTCCGCGCGCGCGGCGTCGGCTTTGCGCTCCTCGGCGGCCGCGGCCTCGTTGGCGCGCACGCGCTTCTCGCGGGCGACCTTCTCCCGCAGCTCCTTCATGCCCGTGACGGCGTAGACCTCGACGGTGCACTCCAAACCGTAGGCCGGATCGGTGACGACGTACGTGCCGACGTCGTCGAACGTGTGCTCGTAGGACTCGCCCCGCGTCAGCGGCGGCGCCGCGCAAAAGACCTCGCCGCCCTCGATCTTCGCGCCGACGACGCGGCCGCAGGACAGGTTGTACTCCACGGAGCCGTGCTCCGCGCGGTCGACGCGCCAGACGCACGCGTGGCCGAAGGCGACGCGGTCGCCGTCCACGTCCGTCTGGAAGTCGCGGATGACGAAGCGGCCGTCGCCCGTGCCCGTCTTCTTCTTTTCCGGCGGCGCGGGCGCGTCGTCGCCGCGGCCCTCCGCGAGCACCGCGGCCTTGAGCCGGCTCGCGAGCGCGCTCCGTAGACCGGTGCTCTCGAGCTTCCGCGCGTCCAATTCGCGCTTCAGCTCCAGCGTCTTGAGGCCCTCGACGTCGTCGACGCGCAGCGCCCGCGGGGGCCGCTTCTCCGGCGGCGGCGACGGCTTCCGCGCCGGCGGGACCTTCGCCGGCGCGGCCGGGTGCGGCGGCGCCGCGTTCAGGATCGGCGCCATGGGCCGGAGCCGCCGCGGCCCGCCGCGCTTGCCGCCGGAGGCCTTGGCGGACTCGGCGCGCTTCGTGGCCAGCGCCTTGAGCATGCGGCGGTCGTTCTCCTGGTCCTCGTCCTGGGCGAAGGACGCGTCGTCGTCGTCGACGGCGCGGCGCCGGCCCGTCGTCTGGGGCCGCGGGGGCAGCGAGTCCGCGGGCGAGCCCGGCTCGTCGCCGGGGGCCACGGGCGTCATGCCACGGGCTAGGGAGGTCAACGACATGCAGTGTTCGGCCGCTTCACGCGCTTTCCATACTGATCTGGGCAACCGCTTGGGCAGCCTCTGCTCCATTCCCTGCTCCATCGACTCGTTTCCCTGAGGCTGTGACGATGCGGCGCGCGTGCAACGCGATGCGCGCGCTCCTGCTGATCGCGCCGTGCTGGGGCCTCGTCGCGCCGTCCGGAGATGCCCACCAGTGCTCACGACTGCATTCACCCGCGCGCCGCGGCGCGCGGCTGCACGTCGCCGCGGGCGAGATGGGCTTCCAGATGCAGGCCGGACCCATGGTGTCGACGGGCCTCATCTTCGCCTCCTTCGCGGCGCTGCAGCTCAAGGTCGCGGCCTACAACGCCAAGGGCGACGAGCTCGACGGCGCGCTGCGGACGCTGCGCGACGCGCGCGTCTCGGAGCTCACGAGCGGCGACCCGGAGTCGAGCGGCGCCGTCGAGGCCGCGGAGCGCCGCGTCGACGACTTGCGGACCGAACTGGAGGACGCGCGCGCCGTCACAGTCTTCGGCGTCTCCGCGCGCATCCGGCTCCCGGACCGGTCCCAGGGCAGCGCGCCGCTGCGGCCCGCGGCGCCGGCGCCGGCGGAGGACGAGCCGTCGAAGCTCCTGGACAAGAAGGCCGTGCGCGTCGTCGCGCTCGCGTCGACGGTCGTGCTGCTCCTGCCGATCCTGCTGCTCCTCGCCGCGGACCCCATGGCGCCGCCGTCGCCGCGGCTCGCGGCGACGCTGTCCGCGGCCGCGGACGCGAACCCGCCGGGCCGCTAGCGTAAAAAAAATTAGGAGGCGCCGTCCTAGCAGATCGTGCAGCCCTCCTGGTTCGTCATCTCGTAGATTTTCTGCTGCGTGGCGTCGCGCATGTGCTCCACCTCCGCGCGCTTGTTCGCGGGCACGGAGTCGCACTCCGCGCACTTGACGAACGCGCGGTAGGCCTCCTGGGCGCGCTCGCCGTTGGACGTGCAGGCGCCGCGCTGCGCCGCCGAGGCCTTGACGAGCTCGAGCGTCGCCTGGCCGAAGTACCAGTGGCCCTTCCACCACGCCGGGTCCGCGTCGACCGCCAGATTCCCGTCCGTCGCCGCGCAGACGTGCTTCTTCAGCGCCAGGTTCGCCGCGGCGCGGTTGCTGTAGAGCTTGGCGTCCACGGGCGCGTCCCATTTCTTGAGGAGGTCGATGGCGAAGGTCCAGTGGACGACGGCCTCCGCGTGCCGCTTCGCGACGAAATGCGCGTTCCCCGCGGCCTTCTCCGCCGCGGCCTTGGCCGCGGCGTCGGCGGCGTCGGACGCGATGGGCGCCGCGGGCCCGTCGTCGGCGGCGGGCGCCGCGTCCGGCGGCGTCGCGTGGAACGGCGCGTCGTCGTCGTCGAAGGGGATCTTCGCCGCTTCGAGCAGGAGCTCGAGGCGCTTCCGCGCCTTCCAGGCGCGGCCGTAGGTCTTGATGAAGGTCGTCGCGGCGCGCGCCTCGGCGTAGGCCTCGCGGAAGCGGCCGCAGTCCTCGTAGGCCCTGCTCAGGTCGAGGCGGCACTGCGCGTTTTGGGGGCAACTCGCGACCTCGGCTTTACAGTACGCCAGCTCCTCGGGCTCCTCGACCTTCTTCTTCTTCTTCTTCCCGCCGCGCCGCGACTTCTTCTTCGACGCCGCGGCCGTCGTCTCCGGCGCCTCCTCGCTGTCGTCCTCGTCGTCGTCCGGCGGGGCGGACTTGGCGGACCGAGCGCTGTCCAGGGCCTCCTGGCGCTCCGCGGCCTCCTGGTTGAGGCCCTTGAGCTGCTCCTCCAGGGCGGCGATCTCGGCCTTGAGCTCGGCCTCGGAGCGCTCGGGCATGGGGTCGCGGCTGCGGTGCGAAGCGCTGCGCACAGCGACGAGCACACGTTGGCTGCCTGAATTTATATTGCCACAAAAATGAGCGAGTTTTGAAGGGCATCGAGCAGTGGCAAAAAGCCTGCTCCAGCAAAACGTGGCCTGCGGCCCGCCCGCGGCGCGCTCCTCCGTCGGGCGCGGGTCCGACCGCGCCTCGCCCGACCCGCGGCGCTCGCGCGGCACAGCTCCACATCTCTCGAACCGTCGACCCGCGATGCAGTCGACGATCAACGCCGTGGCCTTCCCCGTGCCGCCTCGGAGCTGGAGCGCGGCGGTGCTGCGGCGGCGCAGCGACCTCATCCTCCTCCAGACGGCGTCCGGGGAGACGACGGCGGCCGTGCACATCGTCAACCGGCGGCGCGCCGACTCGCGGCCGCTGACGATCCTGTACAGCCACGCGAACGCCGAGGATCTGGGCCTGAGCCTGCCGTTCGCGGACGTGCTGAGCCGGTTCTGCGGCTGCGACGTGCTCGCCTACGAGTACCTGGGCTACTCCATCTCGTCGGGCGAGCCGAGCGAGGCGGGCTGCCTCGAGTGCGTCGACGCGGCGCTCGCGTACCTGCTCGACGACTGCGGCCTGGAGCCGCACCGCGTCGTCGTCTACGGCCGGTCCATCGGCAGCGGGCCCACCGTCGACGTCGCGTCGCGCACGTCGGGCCTCGGCGGCATGATCCTGCAGTCGCCCATCGCGTCCGCGGGCCACGTCGTGCTGCCGGAGCAAATGGCCAAGGCGCTCGCGGGCTTCGACCTCTTCAAGAACTACGAGAAGATCAAGGACGTCACGTGCCGCACGCTCATGATCCACGGCCGCGCGGACACCATGGTGCCCTTCGAGCACGCCCAGATGCTCTTCCCGGAGCTGCGGAACCAGCACCCGCCCTTGTGGATCGACGGCGCGGGCCACCACGACATGCCCGACGATTTGTGCCTCAACGCCGTCGCCAACTTCGTCGCCTACATCGAGGAGCGCAACGCCAAGCTCTACGGCCGGGCGTCGTCGCCCGACGACGACCCCGCGGACGGCGACGGCCGGGGCCACTGGCTCTTCGGCGGCGTCGCGGCCCTCTTCGGCGGCGGGGGGAGCTAGTTAAGGCGCTCCCAGGACAGGCCGCCGTCGGTGGACGAGGCGACGCCGAGGCTCATGGGCGCCGCGCCGCGCGCGTTCGCGGCGTAGTACATCCGGAGGCCGCCGTCCGCCTCGACGACGCACGGGCTCGACACGGCGCCCGAGTCCCAGCCGTCGTCGCTCGGCGCGAAGACGGGGTTCGCGCCGTCCTTCGCCCAGGTCACCCCGTCCGTCGACGTCGCGCGGCCCACGCGGTGAGCGTTCTTTTCGTCGCGCGCCTCGTAGAACATGACGTAGCCGCCGGCCGCCTCGATGACGCTCCGGCGCAGGATCGCGCCCGCGTCCCAGGCGCCGGGCGCGCCGGGCGCGAGGCAGGCGCCGTCGTGGCGCAGCGCGTCCAGAGCACGCCGTTCTTCGACTTCGCGACGCCGACGGCCGATTTGCCGTCCGAATCCGCCGTCGCGCCGTAGTAGAGGTAGAGCTCGCCCGTCTCGGCGTTGGTCGGCGACCGCGTCACGCAGGGCCAGCCGACGGGCGCGCCGGGCCTCTCCCAGGAGTTCGGGTCGGGGGACAGGATGGAGCCGTCGGCCTCATCGCCCTCGATGCGGCCGAACTTGACGCCGTCCTGCGACACGCTGACGCCCATCTTCAGGTCCATGCCGTAGCACTCGCCGTCCTTGGCGATGCCTAAATCCCGCAGGGCCATGGGCGAGTTCGACCCGCCGAAGGTGTAGAGGAACGTCGCGTCGCCTCCGTAGAGCACGTCGCCGAGGCCGACGTGGCCGCTGTCGAACCAGTACCAGTCGTCGACGTTGGCGCTGAGGACGGCGCCGCCGGCGCCTAAGCCGTCGAACTGGCGCTCGAAGGTGAGGCCGCCGTCGGCGCTGACGGCGCGGCCGACGCGGCCCGTGGAGAGCGGCGGCAGCTCTTTGTTGTCCTTGTCGTCGACGGAGCGGTAGTGGTAGAACAGGGTGTGCGTGTCGCCGGTCTTGATGACCACGGGGCCGCCGAGGCTCACGGCGTCCCAGGCCTTTGGCGTCGCGAAGGGCGACAGGGCCGTCACTGCCGGTAGCAGTAGCAAGATCGTCGTCATCGCGCCGGGCCGGCAAGCTCAACAAAGACCTCGTATCCAAGATCACGGCGTCGTGTGCATACTCGAAAGGACATGGTGTCCAAGGCAGCCCCCGTCGTGGCGTCGGCCCTCGCGGCCCTCGCGCTCACGGCCGCGCTGCTGCGCCAGGGCCCCGCCGTCGCCCTGAGCCAGCTCGCGACGACCGACGCCGCGCCCCAGGAGCAGAGCACGACGACGAACTTCCTGAGCGACGACGCCCTGGCCCTCGCCGGGGAGATCGCATCCGAGCGCGGCATGGAGGATTTGGTGACGGTGCTCCCCGGCGCGAACTTTGTCAACAGCTTCGCGACGTTCTCGGGCTACCTCGACGTTTCCGACACGAAAAAGACGTTTTATTGGTTCGTAACGGCTCGCGACGCGTCCAAGGCCAAGGACAAGCCCGTGGTCATGTGGACCAACGGCGGGCCCGGCTGCTCCGGGTTGATCGGCTTCTGGACGGAGATGGGGCCCTGGCGCGCGACGGAGGACATGACCATCGAGCCCTTCGACTTCGCGTGGAACAAGGAGGCGAACATGCTTTTCATCGAATCCCCGACGGGCGTGGGCTTCTCCACGTCGAACAAGGACGCGGACTTCGACGCCGGCGACTGGTCCACGGCCAAGGACAACTTCGAGCTGCTGAAGCAGTTCTTCGGCCGCTTCCCGGGGCTCGCGGACAACGACTTGTACTTGTCGGGCGAGTCGTACGGCGGCCACTACGTCCCCACGCTGGCCTCGCTCCTCGTCGGCGCGCGCGACGCGCCCGACGCCAACGTGTCCGACGCGGGCTACAAGGTCGCGGCGAACCTCAAGGGCATCATGGTCGGCAACCCCTACACGGACCCCGTCGAGAACGCGCACGGCATGTACGGCGCGTACTTCGGCCGGAGCATGGTGCCCGCGAAGATGTACCAGGACTGGTTCGTCAACTGCGGCTCCCACAGCGAGATGAAGTACTACGCGCTCAACTACTCGGACTGGCCCGAGTCCATCACGGGCGATATGGAGTGCGCGGAGCTCACGGCGGCGATGTTCGACGCCATCGGCGACGTCGACTACTACGGCCTCGACTTCCCCGTCTGCAACAAGGCCCAGGGCCTCGAGGTTTCTGCGGAGACGGACGCGCCGCCGGCGGCGGCGGGGGGCACGAAGCAGGCCGCGCGGCTCGCGGCCACGCGGCCGGACCCGTACGCGCGCGCGGACCGCGACGTCGTCGCGGCGGCGAAGCGCCGGCGCCTCGCCGGCGCGCCGGCGAAGTACGGCTACGACGCCTGCGTCGCCGACTACGCGACGCAGTACCTCAACAAGGCGGAGGTGAAAAATGCGATCCACGCGAACGCGTCGCTGCTCTGGGCCGAGTGCAGCCTGCCGGACACGCTCCGCTACAACTACGACGACATGAACCTCTTCATGGAGCCCGTGTGGAAGAAGCTCATCGAGGCCAAGCTCCACCTCCTCGTCTTCTCCGGCGACGACGACTCGATCTGCGGGCCCATCGGCACGCAGGACTGGCTCGCGCGCCTCGCGGACGAGATGGGCCTCTCCGACGCGGGCGAGACGTGGCAGGCCTGGTACTACGTCGACCCGGAGTACGGCGACGGCCAGGTCGGCGGCTACCGCGTCAAGTACCAGTCCTCCGACGGCGACATGGCCATCGCGTTCGCCACGGTGCACCACGCGGGCCACGAGGTGCCCATGTACCAGCCCATGAAGGGCCTCCACGTCTTCGAGAACTACCTCAACGGCACCTGGTAGGGCGCCCCGTCGTAACGCTGTCACACTTTTTTAAACAAGTTTTTAAACCAACTTTCAAGAACGTATATGTCACACTTTTTTTTTTTAGTGTGACAACGCTGCGTGCGAATCACGCGACGCAGACGCGCGGCGGCGGGAGGCCCGCCGCGGCGGCGCGCGCGGCGGCGGCCTCGCGGAGGAGCTCCCCGGCGCTCGAGCCGCGGACGTTGACGACGACGCCGTCGCGCGCGCGCGACGCGGACGCGAGGTCCGCGAAGAAGCCCGCGCCCGCGAAGGGCCCGTGCTCGCCCGACGCGGGCGATGCCGCGCGGTTCGCGACGACGCTCCGGCAGCCGAGCGCCGCCGCTTTTTTCGCGAGGAGGTCGAGGCTCCGCTGGCGGTCCGACATGAGAAACACGACGCACGGCGTCTCGACGAGCGTCGCGAGGCACGTCGCCTCTTTCTCCACGTTGCCGCCCGCGTCGCTCGCGCGCTGGTGCCGCGAGTGCACGGCGAAGGACGCGGCGCCCCGCGGGGCCGGATCGCGCGGCGCGGCGACGAAGGAGAACGCGCTTTCCAGCAACGCGCCGTAGGCGACGTCGACGCCGGCCCCGAAGAGGGCCCGCGCGCGGCGCCGGGCCGGCGGCGACAGCGCCGACGCGTTGAGCGCGGCGGCCTCCCGGTGCTCCATGACGCCGACGTCGAGCAGCCGCGCCGTGGAGCGCTCCAGGGCACCGGCGCGCGCGCGGACGTCGGCCTCCGTCGGCCGCGCGGGCCAGCCCGGCGCGCGCCGCGCGTCCCCGGACCGGAGGCCTTCCACGGCGGCGACGGAAAGCAGCCACGGCTTTCGCGCGAGCGCCGCGCCGCAGCGCGCCTCCGAGTTTTCTTTCGGGCAGCGCTTCCAATGGCAGAACTTCCAGACGAGCGTCCGGTCCGTGACGACGGCGACGGCGTAGGCGTTGAGGAACTCGTGGAGCCGGTCGCCGGCCTGCTCGGGGCAGGAATAAACGCCGAGCACGTACGTCCGCCGGCGCGCCGCGTAGGCGCCCGTCGCCGCCCCGCGGCCGTGTTTGGTCGCGTAGTCGCGCAGCAGGCGGGCGACGGCCGCGTATTTGTTGTCGACGCTTCTCGCGTGCGCCGCCGCCAGCGCGAGCAGGAGCGCGCGACGCATGGGCAGCCCATCACATGCTCTCCCGCTTCAAAAGTGCAACCTTGGGAGGATATGTGGATGCGGGAAAAACTGAAACGCGCTCTCTCGTCCAGCGCTGTCAAAGCGGTCCGCGGCGCCGCGCGGCCGCCGAGCGCCCCCCCGGCCGCGCCGACGGCCTCCCGCTGTTCGGCGCCGGTGCGACCGCCCGCCGCGTCGAAAGCATGGACTTCCTCTTCAGCAAGCCCCAGTTCAACTGCATCGGCGACCCCTACAAGGACCCGCCCATGGACCCCTACAAGCACGGGACGTCCAAGGGCCGGCGCCAGTTCCTGACGGCGCCCCCGAAGAAGGGCCAGACGGCGAACGCCATCGGCTACGGCCCCCTGGCCTACAAGCCCATGTACCTGCCGGGCAAGGAGCCCTTTGTCGAGAACCACAAGTTGCAGGCGCGGAACCGCGTCGCGGGCAAGGGCAAGTTCCTGACGCCCAACGGCTTCACCTACGCGAGCCCCATGAAGAAGAGTGCGTCGCCCGGGGACATGTGCGGCACCTTCAACAAGACGCCCGTGGAGCACCTGCCGGACGGCACGGCGATGATCGGCCGCCGGTCCAAGGTCGACGTCGACGTCATCGCGCGGCGCAACATCCAGACGTCGCCGGGGAAGCGCGGCGGCTTCGGCGTCGCGGGCACGCTCATCGGGGGCAACCCGGAGTACGTCCACAGCTCCTACACGGCCTACGACGACAAGATCCGCGCGGACATGCGCAAGCACCGCGAGATCATGGGCGAGCGGCGGCCCTTCACGTCGACGACGCGCACCATGGACTTCTTCGACTCCCACGACCACTGCTCCGCGTCCAAGATCTACTCCAACGAGGGCTTCGACTTCCCGCCGCCGAAGGACCGCCCGCTCCGCCCGAAGACGTCCGAGGAGGGCGAGGAGATGCGCGTCTTCCGCCCGTCGTCGCCGGCCAAGGTCGGCTACAACGGCACGCTCAACGCCTTCCCCGAGGCCCTCGCCGAGCCCTTCGACGACCGCGCGCGGCGCCGCGCGCAGCTGCCGCAGCGCCGCCAGCCCATCGCCGAGGGCTTCAAGGGCCTCTCCGACGCCATCCGCGAGCGCAAGCCCTTCCGACCAACGAGCGGGCCCCGCTCGGGCGTCACGCGGCCCATGTGCATCGTCGGCGCGCGGGCCTAGCGCGCGCGGGCCTAGCGCGCGCGCGCCGCGCCGCGCCGGGCAGACGGCCCGGCGCCGCCGCCGGGCCGCGCCGCCGCCGCGCGACCCTACAGACGACGAGGACAGCTTCGGGTCGTGTTTTTTTGGGGGGGGCGGGTGGGATCAATGGAGCGACTCCATTGCTTCATCTCATGTTCATCATCACGGATTCGTAAATTCTTGAATCGCAGCTTCGAGGCGCGCCGAGCAACCACGGCGTTCAAACACCTTCGGCGTAAACAGTTTCTACACTGTTCCGTCCTCTGCCAGCGCTGCGTGACCTTCGGCCGTGCCCTCGCCTGCCTGGAGTCCAGCGCGCCGCGTCGACGCCGCGCGACACCCGCCCGGCGCGGGCGCTCGACGGAGACGCGCCATGTCGTACCTCCAGCTCCGCGCGGGCCCGAACTCGCGGCTGCCGCTGTCGACGAAGGCCGAGGACCAGAGCTTGTACGCCCACGTCCGCGCCCGACGGCTCGAGGCCGACGGCATCGGCGCCCTGGACAAGGTCAAGGACTACACGCTCGTCGAATGCTTCCGGGAGCGGGGCGGCCGCCGCGAGCTGCTCCTGGGGTTCAAGAAGCGGGGGCTCGGCGTGAACAAGTACAACGGCTTCGGCGGCAAGTTCGAGGTCGGCGAGACGCCGGCCGAGTGCGCCCTGCGGGAGACGCGCGAGGAGTGCGGCCTATCGCCGCGGCGCCTGGAGTGGAAGGCGCAGCTGCTCTTCACGTTCCGCGACTCGGGCACGGTGATGCGCGTCCACGTCTTCGAGGCGTCGGACTTCGACGAGGCGGCCCTCGTGGAGACGGACGAGATGCGGCCCGAGTGGTTCGACGTCGACGCGCTCCCTTACGATCGCATGTGGCACGACGACGCGTTCTGGATGCCGCTGCTCCTCGACGGCGTCGCCTTCGAGGCCTGGTTCGACTACGCCGCCGGCGGCGAGGACGTCAACACCGTCGCCGAGTACGTGCTCAACCGCACGCCCGCGTCGCCGAGGCACGTCGTCGCCGCGCGCAACGCCGCGTCGCCGCCCTGAGAGAGACCCCGTGACCATAAACCGCTGCTCGATGTTATCGGGACGCGGCGACGACGTAGCCGTAGTAGGCCCAGGCGGCGTCGCCGTCGTCGACCGCGGCCCAGGAGACCGCGGCCTCCGGGAACGCGGCGCGGAGGAGCTCGCCCCGGACCTCCGGGGGCTCGTCGGACCAGTGGCAGAGCAACGCGAAGTCGGCGAGGCGCAGCGCCGCGCAGTAGTTGACCAGCGCGGCCTCGCCCGCGAAGATCGCGGCGTCGAGCGTGCCCTTGTCGAGGACGACGTCGTAGGGCGCGCCCGGCGGCGGCGCCGCGGCCGCGAAGGCGTCCCACGCGCGGAAGCGCTGCGCCGCGCCGCGCGTGGCGGCCTCGAGCTGAGCGAGCGCCGCGGCGCTCGCGTCCGCGTTCACGACGGCGGCGCCGGGCACCGCTCGCGCGAACGACTCGCCGAGGCGGCTCACGCCGCAGCCCGCGTGCAGCACGCGCGGCGACGCGACGCCATGCGCTTCGCACGCCGCCGCGGCGCCCGCGGCGGCCGTCTCCGCGCCCACGAACCACTCGCGCGCCGCGCGCTTGGCTTCGTAGCTTTGCTGCCAAAATGCCTTGTCGCCGAAGCGCGCTCCGGCGCCGGCGCCGCCCGAAGCGCGATGCCAGCGGGAAACGGCGGCACGCCAGGGCATTTTTAAGGGCTACGGGACGGCCATTTCTCTGCGCTACTAGCTGCGCGCGCGCTCGCGGCTCTAAGGTGCAGCCTTGTTGAACTGCAAATTTGCCACAAGCAAGCACATCATATGGACATGGCGTCGCCGCAGCTGCAGTAGAGCTATGGAGGAGTCGAAATCATCCGCCTCGGCGCCGGAGGAGGAGCCATCGTTATTCACGGCGGCGGAGCCGTCGCCACCGGAAGCGCCGCCGGCCGCGCCGTCGCCGCCGCCGCCGCCGCCGCCGGCCGCTCCCCACGACGCCGCGCCGGCGCCCGCGCCGGCGGCGGCGGCGCCCGCGGACACGCGGCGGCAGGAGCTGCTCGAGGCCCTCGCGGCGAAGCAGATCAGCAAGGTCTGCCGCATCGTCGAGCGGCTCAAGTTCGACGTCGACGCGCCTCTGAACGACGACGGCGAGACCGCGGTCCACAGGGCAGGACAAGAGAGATTCAACGTCGCTTCAACGTGAGTGTTCCGCGCGCGCGCGTTCCGGAAAAAGCATCCACGCATCGAGAGCGCTCCGAGGGATGATCGCTCGTCCCAAAATCAGCCGAAACGAGCGGAAAACGACCGAGATAGGAGCCTTTGAAGTTGGGAATTTCGCACCCTTTTCCTGCCCAGGCGGTCCACGTCTGCGTGCACCACTGCGGCACGCGGCGCGACCCGGGCTTCGTGCCCGTGCTGCGGTGCCTGCTGCGCCTCGGCGCGAACCCCGACGCGGCGCGCGCCGGCGGCCAGATGCCCGCGCACCGCTGCGCGGCGTTCGACCTCACGCCCATGCTCGCGCTGCTCGGCGAGTTCGGCGCGGAGGTCGACCGCGAGGACGACGAGGGCTACGCGCCGGCCCACGTCTGCGCCGCCTGGGGCAAGACGTCGGCCCTCGAGTGGCTGCTCACGCGGGGCGCGGTCCACGTCGAGCGGCTCCACGGCAACGGCATGACGCTGTCCATGTTCGCGGCCGTCAACGGCCACCTGGAGACCCTCAAGTGCCTGCGCCGCCTCGGCGCCGACGTGCGACGGCCCTGCTTCGTGGACCACGACCTCATCGCCGGCCAGCGCGTCCAGTGCACGATCATGGCCATGGCCTGCTACGAGGGCCGCGACCACGTCGTCAAGTGGCTCGTCGACGACTGCGACGTGGGCAAGTGCGAGTCGGAGATCGTCGTCGTGGACCCGGCCTACATCGACGAGGTCACGGCGCGCGAGCGGGAGGCCGAGCGCAGGGCCAAGGAGGAGCTCACGGCGCGGCGCGGGGCGGGAAAAGAGCGCGAAATTCCAAAGCTCCGATCTCGGCCGTTTTCCGCTCGTTTCGGCTGATGTTTGGACGAGATCATCTCTCGGAACGGTCTCGAAGCGTGGATGTTTTTTTTCTCGAAGTGCGCGCGCGCGGAACACTCACGTTGAAGCGACGTTGAATCACCCGTTTCCCGCCCAGGCGCAGCGCGCGCGCGACGCGAAGAAGAAGAACCCCTACGGCCGGCCCTACGGGCCCTACGGCAAGCCGGCGCGGCGCCCGAGCCCGCCGGCCGAGCCCCCGGCCGCCGTCGACATGTCCGTCGTCCCCGACGCCGCCCACCCGGAGGCCGAGCTCCTCGACGCGTTCGCGCCCGCGGCGGCGACGGACAACGTCGACATCACCGTCGACGACGCCGCGGACACGCCGCCCCACGACTAACCGCGGGTCACTTTGGACGGGGCGGACTCCGGCGGGGCCGGGGCCGTAGCGGGGCGAGACGTGGGCCCGGATGCGCGCGCGGCGGCGCGCGGACGACGTCGACCGTGACGCCGTGTGTCGACGGCCTCTCGACGACTCGTACTCGTGAGCTTCGGCGCCGCAGTTCGCGCACGGTTTGGCTCAGCGCATTCGCCGCCTGCACCGCGGCGCGACGCGACGCCGCGCCATGTTCCAGCTCTTCCTCAAGGCGGGCGAGATCGTGGCGCCGCAGACGAAGCCGCGGACGCTCCTCGAGGACGCCCTGCGGGCCCGCGACGCGCCCCGGTGCCTCGAGATCATCGCGGACCCGGCCCTCGACGTCGGCGACGCGGCGCGGGACCCCCTGCCCGCCTGCGGCCTCCCCGCGCTGCACTACGCCTGCGCGCTGAACCTGCCCGCCGTCGTCCGGGCGCTCGCGGACGGCGGCTGCGACGTCGGCGCGCGCCTCGCCGCGGGCTCGGGCGCGTTGGCGGTCGCGGGCGACGCCGCGCTCCACGTCTGCGCGCGCGCGGACGCCGCGGCCTGCGCCGTCGCCCTCCTCGAGCGCGGCGCGCGCGCCGACGCGCCGGACGCGTCGGGCGCGACGTGCGCCGACCTCGCGGGGTCGTCGGCGCTCCGCGCGGCCGTCGTCGACGCGCGGGCGCCGACGCAGCCCGCGGCGCGCGAGAACGTCGCCGCCTCCGCCGCCGCCGCGGCCGACGCGCTCCGGGCCATCCAGGACTCGCGCAAGGCCTGGCCCTCGCCCGCCAAGGCGCCGCCCGCGGGGACGCCCGACGCGCGCGCGGCGCCGGCCTCGTCGACGCGCAAGGAGAACGCGCCGCCGGCCTCGTCGACGCCCCGCGCGCCGCCGGCCGCGCCGCCGGCCGCGACGACGCCGCCCGCGGCGCCCCTGGCGACGCTGCCCGCGGCGCTCGCCGCCGCGCTCCCCGCGGAGACGCCGCCGCCGCCGCCGCCGCCGGCCGCGCGGACGCCCCGGAGCGTCGCGTTCTCGCCCGGAGGCGTGTCGACGCCGCTGCGCCGCACGGCGAAGAAGGTCGGCTCGGCCTGGAGCGAGCGCGAGTACGCGCGGCGCCGGTCCCTGACGACGCGCGAGTCGCTGTCGTCCGCGTCGTCGTCCGAGGAGCTGGCGCACGCGGTCCTCGAGGCCTGCGGGGACACGGCGCGGGCCTTCGCGTCGCCGAGCGCGGAGGCCATGCGCGTGCAGCGCCTCTTCAAGGAGCTCTGCGGCAAGAAGCTCGACGTCGACGCGCTCGTGAAGCGCCTCGGCGGCGACGAGACGCTGCTCCTGTCGAGGAGCAGCGGGTGCGCGATCTACGACGGCGCGTCCGTGCTCCACGCGCTCGCCTTCGGGGGCCACGCCGACGCGCTGCCCCGGGTCGCGGCGCTGGGCCTCTCGCCCTGGACCGTGGACACCTACGGGCGCACGGCGCTCCACGTCGCCGCGGAGAAGGGCCACGTCGACTGCTGCGACGCGCTGCGCGCGCTCATGGCCGAGGAGACGGAGAATCCGCTCGGGCGCGCCGCGCCCGCGGATCTCTGCGGCCGCACGCCCGTCGCCTGGGCGTCGGACCGCCTCAAGGACCCAGCGAAGCGCGACGCCGTCGAGACGCTGCTCTTCCGGCCCGGCGACGCGACGGTGCTGCCGGCTCGCGAGCGGACGCCGCTCACGACGCCGCGGGTCGTCAACGGCGCGCGGGGCCGCTGCCCCGCGCGCCACGCCGCCGCGGCGACGGCGGGCTGGCGCGTGAAGATGGAGGACGCGCACGTCGTCTGCGCGCCGCTCGCCGGCGCGACGACGCGGTCCGGAAGCATGCCGAGCCTCTACGCGGTCTTCGACGGCCACGGCGGGTCGCTGTGCGCCAACTACGCGGCGGCGCACGTCGAGCGGTGCCTCCTGGCGGCGGACAACTTCCCCGCGGGCGACGACTTCTCCGACCCGGCGCGGCTCGGCGACGCGTTGCGGGAAGCGCTGCGGTCGCTCGACGGCGAGCTCCGCGCGCACCCGCGCCTGGCCAAGACGCGGACGAAGCGCGACGGGTCCGCCTACGCCGAGGACCAGTCCGGCGCGACGGCGCTCCTCGTGCTCGTCTCCGGCGACCACGCGGTCACGGCGTGGCTCGGCGACAGCAAGGCGGCGCTGGCGACGTCCGCAAACGGCGCGTGGACGGCCGAGTTCCTCACGACGGACCACTGCCCGAGCGACGACGCGGAGCGCGCGCGCATCGAGGCCGCGGGCTGCGCCGTGCTCCACGAGGCGGGCGACGCGCCGCGCGTCGCGCGGATGAAGGACGGCGACGTCGACCGCAACGGCGCGCTGGGGACGTCGCGCGCGCTCGGCGACTTCGTCTTCAAGGCCGGCGCCGGCGGCGTCGACGCCGTGTCGAGCGACGCCCAGGTCGTCGTCACGGACCTCGCCGCGCTCCGCGCGGGCGCGGACCGCGCCCTCGTCGTCCTCGCGTGCGACGGCCTCTGGGACGTGACGTCCGCCGCCGACTGCGCGGCGACCCTCGAGGCCCACCTCCGGCCCTCCGACGGTGGCGAGCCCGCGGGCGACGCGGCGCTCAACGCCGCCTGCGACGCCCTCGTCGCGGCCTGCGTCCAGAAGCGGTCGCGGGACAACGTCACCGCCGTCGTCGTCGAGGTCCGCGCGCCCGACGGCGACGCGGCCAAGGCGCAGACGCCCGTGCACCCGACGACGCTCACCTTCGACGACACGCCGCCCCGCGCGTCCTAAGCGCGCTCCCTCGTGTCGGCCCCGGGGGCTGTTCCGCGCCCCGGGACTCCCAGGGCTGGAGCGGGGGACTCTCGAGCAGGCTCCGAGTCGGCGGAGCTCCGGCCGCGCGGGCCTAGCCGAGCGCGACGAAGGGCCGGATCTGGTCGAGCGCGCCGAGCGCGTGGAGCGCGATCAAATTGGCGTCGCAGTCGATCGCCGCCATGGCGAGCGCCCACGCCGCGGGGGCCGCGGCCACGCCGCCGCCGCGCGCGACGTCGACCAGCGGCGCGATGCCGCCGGCGTCCGCGACCGCGACCTTGTGCGCCGGGTCGCTCATGAACGCGAGGAGGCCGAGGGTCCGCGCGGCGTATGCCTTGACGGCGTCGTCGCCCGCGTGCCGCAGCGTGCGCACGAGGCGTACGGCCATGACGCGGCACAGCCGCGGGTCCAGAAAGGGCTGGGTCGTAGCGCGCGCGCAATCCGCGGCGCGCGCCGTCTCTTGGGCAGCGAGGACGAGGCGAACCGTGCGGCCGTCGCGGAGCTTGAGCGGCGTGCGTTTCTCCATGATCGCAGCGACGCGGGTCTTCAGTAGGCTCCCCAGACGATCGAGACTCGATAACGATGGTCAATGTTACCCATGCCACAAAAAGATCAAAAGTTGACTTCGACCCATGACGATGGGCTGCCCACATAAGCGCAAGCAGCCACAGCCAATGCGCCGGCCCGCGCCGTAGACCCATGGCGCGCCTGAGCCTGTATCGCGTCGTCGCCGCGTTGGCCGCACTCGTGCTCGCGGCGCAGTGGTGGCCGCGGGCGCTGCCGGCGCCGCCGCCGGCGGGCCCCGCGGGGCCCGACGGCATCGTCCGCCTCCGGCGCGCGTCCGCGCCCGCGCGCCGCGCGCCGCGCGCCGCGCGGACGACCAACGGTACGCGCGGCTGCGGCCCGCCGCTCTTCGTCGTCCACTGGACGCACGTGCCCAAGGCCGGGGGCACGGCGTTCGCGCGAGTCGCGCGGCGCGCGGCGTGCGCGGCGAACCCGCGCCTCGCGGCGGACAACCCCTGCTGCGTCGACGACCTCTGCCTCGGGCCGACGTGCGAGTCGCCGGGCCGCTGCCCGCTGGTCATGGCCCAGGGCGTCCACACGGCCGCGATCGGCGTCCCGCGGCGGCGACGATTTTCGAGAGATTTTGACCGGGAAGACGAAGAGCAATCGTGACCGACATGCTTGGTAGGCCGCGATGCAGCGTTTGGCGACGACGGGCCGCTGCGGCTACGACTGGTTCTCCACGACGAGCTCCCTGCGGGCGGCTCTGGGCGAGGAGGCGCGGAGCGGCGAAGCGGCGCGGAACGCGTCGCTCGCGGCCTGGCCCCTCGCGTCGCGCGCGCGGTTCTACGGCGCCGCGGGCGTGCCTCTCGCGCGGCTCGACGCGGACGTCCGCGACTTCGCGCGGACGCACGACGGCCGGGGCTTGCTGGCGGCGGCGTCCGCCGCCGCGGAGCGCCCGCCCTGCGGCGGCGACGCCGCGCGGGGCGCGCACTCGCTGACCGTCGTGCGCCACCCCTTCGCGCGCGCGGTCTCCGCGTTCTACTACCGGGGCCACAGCCCGAACTACGACGTCTTCGACCTGCGGCCGGGCCTCTGGGTGCGGCCCTGGATCAAAAGGGCCGACGTGAACCTGCGCGAGTACCTGGCGCTGCCCGAGTACGCGAACGTGCTCACGAAGATGTTCGGCGCGACGTGCCCCCGCGACGCGACCTGCGCGGAGAGCGAGTCCTGCGGCTGCAGCCGCACGCAGCGGTGCCACGCCTACCGCAACGCGTCCCTGGGCGAGGCGCACGTCGCCGCGGCGGTCGCGAACCTGCGCGCGCACCGCGCGTTCGGCGTCCAGGAGGCGTTCAACGCGTCCGCGCGGCTCGCGGGCGCGGCCTTCGGCTTCGCCGTCGAGAGCCGCGACCTGCGGCCGGACCGCCCGTCGGCGGCGCTCGCGGGCCGGTGCAGCCCGTCGCGCGTCATGCGCTCGGACCCGGCCGCGTGCCGCGCGGCGTTCGCGGGCCACGCGCTCGACGTCCGCGTCTTCGAGGCCGCGCACCGCGAGTTCTGCGGCCGCCTCGAGGCCGCGGGGCTGCGGCCGGCCGCGGACGCGGAGCTCGCGCGCGCGGGCCTCTGCGGCGAACTGCGCCACGACGACGCGGACGCGGTCTGCGGGCCCCTCGAGGCGCCCGCGGCGCTCGCGCGGCTCGAGGAGCTGCGGAGGCCCTGCCGCAAGGACGGCGCGTGGTGGGCGCTGAAGCACGGGTTCCACAGTACCGCGTGAAGTGCCGCCGTCGCGAAGGCCGGGCATTAACTTGGGGTTACGCGCGTCGCGTCCCGACCGGCCCGCCTCACTCGTCGTCGTCGTCGTCCATGTTGAGCATCTGGTCGATCATGTCGTCGGCGGCGGCCTCCTCGGCCTCCGGGTCCCAGTCCGGGTCCTCCTCGCGGAGCGCCGCCTGCTCGTGGAGCTTCTCGAGGTCCTCCTTCGCCTCCTTCTCCTTGGCCTCCTCCTCCTCCTCCATGGCGAGCTCCTCGAAGGAGGGCCGCTTGACGAGGTCGATGTCGTCCTTGTCCTGCTGGGCCATGTCCGTGATGAGCTTGCCGTCGTAGAGGTCGGCGATGAACTCCTGCTGCGCTTCGACGAAGGCGTCGAAGTCCGTGGGCTGGTTGTAGGCCCAGGCGAAGAAGGAGAAGGACGCCATGAGGAGCGCCGCGCGGTAGTAGCGCTGGTTCGCCGCGCCGTGGTCGAAGGAGTAGCCCGGCTTGAACGAGTCGACGAACGTGAGCGACTCGTCGAAGAGGTTCGGGAGGATCCAGAAGTCGTAGCCGACGATCCAGAAGTTGAGGAAGAGGACCATGCGGACCGTGCAGAAGACGCACATGAAGAGGAGGAAGGTCACGGAGCAGTACCAGAGGTAGACCTTGAGGAAGTGGGGCCAGATGGGGAAGCACGTACACACCAACATGCCGACGATGAGCGCGCCCGTCATGAAGTTGGAGAAGCCCTTGGAGCCCTCGAAGTCCCAGACGTAGTAGTCGCGGGGCTCCCAGACCTGGCGCGGCTCCCACTCGAGCTGGCCCTTGCCCGTGCGCTGCGCCCGGTGCACGTAGCCCGCGCTCATCATCGCCGCGCAGATCTGCTTCGCCTCCTCGGCCGACGCCGGCGCGTAGGGCCGCGGGTCCTTCTTCTTCTTCTTCTTCGCCTCGTCGTCGTCGAGGGTGCCCAAAAGGCAGTTGACCAGCTTCTCGCCCCGGAAGTACTCGACGCGCCGGTCCGTGTCGTGGGCGTTGCGCAGGCGCTCGATGCCGCTGCGCACGGGCACGCCCTTGGAGCTCCGGCAGAACGCTGCGACCTTCTCCAGGCCCTTCTCGCTCTCCCAGAGCTTCTCCGCGGGGGCCATGGCTCGCGAACGCGACGAACGCGACGGACGACGAGGTGAGTCGCACAGGTCGCCAAGCCGAGCTCTCTTCAACTCGCCGCGCCTCTCACTGCAACATGCGCCGTCCGCTGGACGCGTCCCGGCGTCCGACGTCGACGCGGAGCGCAGTGAGCGCGCGTGCTGGTGGTCACCTTACGACGATGCTCAGTCAACTGCCATATATCTGACGTGTCGCGGCCGCCGCCGCGCGCGGCCCGTGGCGCCCCGCGGCGAACGCCGGCAGCAACGCCTTCGCTCGGCGAGCGTGCGGTATCAAATGCACGCTGCCACAAGACATAGAGCGCGCGGCGTTATCGAATCGCGCGCGGAAAAACCTCGGCGAAGGCGCGCGGGCGCGCCCTAGGACTCGGCCTCGGCCGCCTCGCGCGCGCGGACGCGCTCGGCCTCCTCGACGTCCGCCGGGTGGACACTGTGCTCCGGCGCGAGCTTGATCGTGAGCTCGTCGCCGCTGCGCACGTTGGCGCCGATGATCGCGTCGGGCGCGAGAATCGCCGCCTCCCGGTCGACGATGAGCCGGCACTTGGCGATGTCGATGGGGTCGTCGTCGTTGGACTCGTTGAACTTCTTCACGTAGTGCTTCATGATCTTGCTGCAGGGCTTCTTGCTCCAGGAGTCGGGCAGCGTCATCTTGATGACGAACTTGCGCTTGTCCTCGTTGTACTTGTCCTCGTCGAATTTGAGCGTCACGGACGTCATCGCTAGGCGCTCCCACCGGCGGCGGGCGGCGGGCGGACCGCGGCGGCGAGCGGCGCGGCGACCGAGGCGGCGGCGCGGGCGGCGAGGCTGGCGCGCGGCGCGAGAGAAGTCGACTAGCTCTACCACTGGATGAGCTGTGCGGCCAGCGCTCGCTTCGCTCGCTTCGGGTCGACTGGCACCTGTAGGCAGCCGCGCGGCTGCGGCATGACTTGCGGCATGCGCAGGCCTCGCGCGCCGGCATCGAGGCCTTCCGCCGGCCGGCGGGCGCCGCGACGCATGAGCGCGAGCCTGCATCCGCCGTCCGCGCCATGCTTACCACGGCGCGTCGCGCGTTTCCTTGGGCGGCACGAGGCGCTCGAAGTCCGGCAGCGCCGCGAAGCCGAGCGCGAACGCCGGCGACGCCGGCTCGAGGACGCCGTTCGCGACGTCGGCGAAGAGCGGGTCCGCGACGCGCGAGCGCCGGTCCCCGCCGGCCCAGCGAAACGGCGGCGCGTCGTCGCGGCCGCCCGGCGCGGACGCGTTGCCCCTTCGCCACGCCGCGAGCGTCCCGTTCGCCGGGAAGAGCGCGCGCGCGGCGACGTCCGCGACCGGCGACCAGAAGAGGTTGCGGTCGGAGTCGACGCGGCCGGGGATCATGGTGCACTCGCGCGTGTTCGGCGGGCCCGGCAGCGCGATCGCGGACGAGCCGGCGTCGGGCAGGTAGAAGACGTTCGCGCGGAGCGTCGTCCCCGGCCAGGCGACGCGCGCCGCGTCGCCGGAGTAGCACGCCGAGAGCTCGACGGCGGCCGTCTTCGGCGCGAGGACGACGTTGTTGAAAAAGGACACGTTGCCCCCGCCGTTGACGATGAGCGCGCCCTTGCTGCTCCCGTCCAGGACGTTGCCGTAGATGGTCGCGCCGGCGTAGTTGCCGTCGAGGTAGATGGACCACGCGAGGCCCCGGCAGCCCCGCGTCGCGTCCGCGGCGCTCCCGCGGCAGACGTCGCGGCCGTCCGTCGACGAGCTGCCCAGCACGCGCGAGACCTTGTTGTAGCGGATGACGTTGTGCAGGTCGAAGCCCACGGGCGCCGGGTCCTGGGAGCCGAGCAGCTCGATGGCGCCCGTGTCCGTCGTCTCCGTGCTCGCGAGGTCGACGACGTTGTGCTCGAAGACGTTGGACCGCGACCAGCGGCCGCCGGCGACGGACAGGTTGTAGAACGTGTCGGCCTGGAGCGCGTAGCGCGGCACGACGGAGATGCGGTTGTGGCCCACGTAGGTCTCCGACGCGCTCCGGAGGCCCACGGCCGCGGCGTGGATGAGCGTGCGCCCGAGGCGCTCGAAGACGCACCAGCGCACGTCGCCGCGCGACGGCGGCCGGTTCAGGGCCGTCGTCGCGTCGTCGACGCCGTAGAAGAGGACGCCGCCCTGGCCGAGGTCGGCGAAGGTCGACGCCGCCACCGTCACGTCCCTCGACGCGTTGCCGACGACGACGCCGTAGCCCGAGAGCCCCGCGGCGAAGCGGCACGCGTCCACGGCGACGCCCGTCGCGTTGTTCACGCGGACTGCGCCGTCGGACGGCTGCGCCGCGGGGCCCGTCCAGGTCCCGACGGCGAAGTAGTCCGCGTCGCGGAACGTGAGGTCGCGGACCGTGACGTTCGCGACGTCCTCGACGAGGACGACGGACCCGCGGAGGGGCGCGACGGCCGGCAGCGAGCCGTCCAGCAGCGCCGCGCGCTCCGCGGCGTCGACGGGGTTGTAGGACACGGTCCGCGCCTCGGCGTCGAAGTAGAACTGGCCCGCGCCGACGGAGTCGCGGACGTTCTCGAGCCAGTAGCGCTGGTGCAGGTGGAGCCCCCGCGACAGCGGCAGCTCGATCTCGCCGGACGCGTGGGACAGGATGGGCACGATCTGGTTGAGCACGTCGGCCTCGCCCGTGCCGAAGATGTTCGCCCAGGCGCCCGCCAGGTCGCCGGGCGCGCCGTCGGGCAGCCCGACGCGGCACGTCGGCGTGGGCAGCGCGGGCGACTTCCCGGGGCACATGATGCCGTCGCACCAGACGCAGGACTCGTCGGCGGCGTCGTCGACGAAGAGCCAGCCCGTCGCGTAGTCGCCGTCGACGCGCTGCGGGTAGCGCGACCGCTCGCGGCGGTCCGGGCCGACCCGCAGCGACTTGACCTCGGGAAACGCGGACGCGTCCGCGACGAGCAGGCCGCCCGCGGACGCCTCGAAAGCCAGGGGCCGCCCGCCGGAGACGAGCGCGCCGCCCTCCCAGACGCTGTGCGAGGGCAGCCGCACGTGCGTCGCGTAGCAGGTGCCCCGGGCCTCGACGGCGCCGCCCCGCGCCGCCGCCGCCGCCGCCTCTTCGAGGGTCGCGAAGGGGTCCGCCGCACTGCCCGCGCCCGTGCCGGCGCGGTCGCAGTCCACGAACCAGCGCGCCCCGGACGCGACGCGGGCGAGAGCGAGGAAGGTGGCGAGATGAAAGACCATTCCACGGGCGAGAGCGAGGAAGGTGGCGAGAGGGAGGGCCATCGCAGCGCGCGCTTTACAATCTTCTTCAACTTTCTTCTTTTTGTTCTCGATCACGGTATGGTGCGAGCGCGCGGCGCCTGGCTGCTCGCTGGCCTGCTCGGGCGAGTTTACGCGGGCAATCCCATCATGCTGCCGTCGCTCGGCATCGCGGACCCGCACGCCCACGTCTGGCCCGGCGATCCCGACACGGTCTTCGTCTACGCCACGCACGACTGCAGCCCGAGCGGGCGAGGGAACTGCACCGCATCCCGGGGTCTCGGGTTTCGCATGGACGACTGGTGCGTGCCCCCCTCCCGGGAGTCCTGCGTTGAGAGTCGCATGCAGGTGGGTCTGGTCGACGACGGACCTCCTGAACTGGACGCTCGAGGCCACGGTCTCGCCGAGCGTCGTCTCCTGGGAGACGAACGACACGGCGCGGGAGTGCTGGGCCACCGACGCGGCCCAGAGGGACGACGGCGAGACCTTCTTCTACCTCTCCGTGGGGTGCGTCGCGCCCGCTCCCTGGATCGACGCGACGTCTCCCCGTAGGCCCAAGCAGATCGGCGTCGTGAGCGGCCCGACGGCGCGCGGCCCCTTTTCGGACCCCATCGGCAAGGCGCTCGTGCCCGAGGGCCTCGTGCCGTCCTACTCGCGGGACCCCTGCGTCTTCCGCGAGGGCGACGACTACTACCTCATCTGGGGCACGTTCTCCTATTACGTCGCGAAGCTCGACGGCTCCCTCGCCGCGCTCGCGGAGGCGCCCCGGCCCGTCGTCATACGGAACCAGGAGCACCGCGACGACAAGCCCTTCGTGCACCGGGCGAACGGGCTCTACTACCTGAGCTGGGGCTGCTTCTACGCCGTGTCGAACAGCTCCGTCTACGGGCCCTACGACTACGTCGGGTCCTTCGCACAGGGCAGCAAAAGAGAGCGAAATTCCCAACTTCAAAGGCTCCGATCTCGGCCGTGTTCCACTCGTTTCGGCTGATTTTTGGACGAGCGATCATCTCTCGGAACGGTCTCGAAGCGTGGATGCTTTTTTCTGGAACGCGTGCGCGCGGAACACTCATGTTGAAGCGACGTTGAATCACTCTTTTGCTGCCCAGGTCCTTCATCGACGCGGCGACGCTCGAGAACACGTCCTTCGCGTCCGGCGGCGGCACCGCGGACCGCCACGGGAGCTTCTTCGCCTTCCACAACCAGACCTACTTCGCCTGCAACGACCGGAGCCACGGCGGCGGCTCGGGCTACCGCAACACGATCGTCAACTACGTGCACTACGCCGCGAACGGCTCCATCGCGCCCCTCCGCATCGACGAGGTCGGCGTCGGCGCCTTCGACGTCGCGGCGTCGCCGCGCGTCGAGGCCGAGAACTACTTCTCCGCGTCCGGCGCCGCGGCGAAGCGCGAGACGGCGGCCGGCTTCGCCGTGGACGTCGGGCCGGGCGCGGCGCTCGCGTACAACGCGGTCCGCAACGTGCCCCCGGGCGCGACGCTGCGGCTCGTCGGCGCGGGCGACGCGGTCTTCGAGGTGGCGGCGGACGGCGCCGAAATCGGCACGTGCGGCGTCGGCGCGCCGTGCGGTCCGCTCCCGGCCGGCGACGTGGCCGTGCTCTACGTCACCGCGGTCCGCGGGGCCGGGACGCTGGACGCGCTCGAAATTATTTAAGCCGCCGCGGGGGTGAGGACGTGGGTCGCGAGGGAGAGCGCGAGGAAGAGGAAAGCGACGAGGGCGAAGTCCCGGGCCTGGAACGCGGCGAAGGGGCAGCCGCCGCCGCCGGTCCCGGCCCGGACGAGCTTCGCGTCGTCCGCGGGCGCGCCCGTGAAGGGGCAGACGTTGCCGTATTTCGCCGCGAGGGCCGCGCCGCCCTCGCGGGCGAGGAAGGGGCACTGGGGGGGCGAGTCGGGCGCCCTCTTCGCCGGCGCGCGCGCGTGCGCCTTCTCGGCCGCGTCGGCGCCCAGCAGCGCGACGTCGAGCTCCTTGAGCAGCGCCGTGTTGCGCCGGAAGGCGTCGACGGCCTCGGCGACGACGGCGTCCGGGTCGGCGACGTCCAGGTCGTCTAAGACCGTGCGGTAGGCGTCCTTGAAGCGCCGGAGCTTGGTAGGTTTCCCGATCCGCGGAAAGTCGTAGAACGCGACGCCCTCGCCCGCGTCGAGCGTCGTGCCGGACGCGGGCGCGAGGCCGTAGGCGCGGACGACGGCGCGCCGCAGGATCTGGCCGCCGCTCAGGTCGCCGAGGTAGCGCGTGTAGAGGTGCGCGACGAGCGCCTCGGCGCCCGCGGCCGTCGTCTTCGAACCGTCGCCGAGCAACTCGAGGTGGGCGACGTAGCTATTCGTCGCCGGGGACCGCAGGGCGAAGGCCTCGGCGCGGCCGACGAGCGCCGCGTCCCGCCGCCGGTAGTAGGCCAGGTCCGCGTCGAGCGCCGCGGCGCGCCGCAGCGCGTCCGCGCGGCCCTCGGACACGGCCCGCACGGGGCCCGCGTCCGACCGCGCGTCGGCCGCGGCCTCCAGCGCGCCGTAGATGCGCCGCAGGGCGGCGACGAGGCAGACGTAGCCCTCCAACGGGGCCTTGCCGCCCAGCAGGAGCTGCACGAACGCGACGTTCTCCGCCTCCGCGTGCGCGGCCTCCGTCCCGCGCTTGAGCCGGTCCGCGAGGCCGACGCAGGGCGCGCGATGCGTCTCCGGCGCCTTCCCGGCGAGCGCCGCGGCCCACCAGCCGACGAACTCGCCCACGAGGGCCTCCGTCTCCTCGCCGTCGGACGCGAAGAACACGTTCTCGCCGGAGTCGGACCGGCCGCGCGTCCGGCGCACGACGACCTCGATGAGGCCCGCCGTGTCGCTCGCCGGGTCCGTGTGGCTCAGGGGCATGGTCTCCAGCGTCTCCTTGAGGGCCGTCGACGTCGTCGCGGCGCTGAAGGGGCACCCGCCGGCGAAGGCCGGGCACCGGTCCCTGGCCGCGCGCATGAGCATGCCGTCGGCGCCCGCCACGGGGCAGGCCGAGGACGCGCCCGCGTCGTCGGCCGACCGGGGCATGGCGTCGGGGGCGACCTTGGGCGATTTCGACGGGGAGCTGAGTGACGGCATCGCACGCTCGCTCTCGTGTCACATCCGCCAGGCGCACGAGCGGAGCGGACTTTGTCACGAGCGGCGCCGACCTTGTCGTGGTCTTGCACCCACCGGGAGCCATGTCGGGAGAGCATGGGCAGCTTCTCGGGGGCCTTCCGGCCCCTGTAAGACGCTCGTTGTTGGCCGTCCTCGTCGTCGCCGTCGCCGTCGCGTCGGATGCCTGCGACGCCAGCGTGGGCGACGCCGCGGCGCTCGCCGCGGCGGTGAAGCGCGCCGGTTCGGACGCCTGCGTGGGGCGGATGAACGTCGTGGCCGTGACGGCGGACATCGCGCTCGCGGCGCCGGTCCTCATCTGGGCCAACGCGTCCGTGTCGCTGGTCGGCCCGCACACGATCTCCGGCGCCGGCGACCACGGCCTCTTAGTGAACCAGGGCGGGTGGCTCGCGCTGTCGGGGCTGCGGCTCACGGACGGCAACGCGACGGACGGGGGCTGCGTCAGTGCGAGCGGGCTCTCGCTCGCCGTGTCCGACGTGTCGTTCGAACGCTGCGCGGCGGGGCGAATGGGCGGCGCCATCTATGCGGTTGCTCAATATCTGACGCTGCGGAACGTGACCTTTTCGCGAACGTCCGCCGGCGGCCCCACCACTAAGTGGAAGGCATCCGGCGGCGCCGTCTTCATAGGGTCAGGATATCCAGATCCCATCTTCCCAAGGACTCTCGTCGTCGACTGCACTTTCGAGGAAACCACCGCGGCGAGCCCCGGCATCGAGACTATGGACTCGAGAGGCGGCGCAATTTCAGTATTTGCGGGCGAGGCGACGATCGTCGCCAGCACGTTCGTAGGGACGCGGAGCTCGGTCGCCGGCGGAGCCCTCAGCTGCGAATACGCGAATTGCAGCGTCTCGCGCTCGCTCTTCCGATCGACGAGCGCGGTACGAGGCGGCGCCGTCGCGTTCGTCGGCCGCGCGCCTGCCCCCGATGGTTGGGGGCGGTCGCTCGTGATCGAGGACACGGTCTTCGAAGGCACCGTCTCGAACTACTCCGGCGGCGCGGTCTGGGTGTTCGGGGGCAAAGTGGCGGCCGTCGGCGTGACCTTCGACCGGTGCGTCGCGGTGGTCGGCGGCGCCGTCCACCTCCAAAACTTTGAATGCGAGGAGGGCGTGCCGTGCTTCGAGAGCGACCTCGACCTGCGGCGCTGCACATTCTCTTCCTGTCGGGCGACGGCCGGCGACGGCGGCGGCGTTAACGTGGTGAGCGCAGGCCGCGTGACCCTCGGGCCGGGCCTCGTCTTCCGGGGCAACGTCGCAGAAACGGGCGGCGGCGGCGGCGCGTACCTCCGCAACATCTCCGGGTCCCTCGTCGTCCGCGACGCGGTCTTTGCGGAGAACCGGTGCCGCTCGCGCGGCGGCGGCCTCTTCGTCGAATTCCAAGCGCCAAAGCCGCGCGTCGAGTGCGCGCGCTGCCCGGTCGAGATGGCGAGACAGCCCTGCGCGTACGCGAAGAACGGCACTTGGCGGAGCTGGTACCGGAGCAGCGACGTCGCCACCGTCGTGGGGTCGACCTTCGTCGGCAACGAGGCCAACTTCTCCGCCGGCGGGCTCGGCGTGACCGGCGGCGTCCGCATGACCCTCAAGGATACGTCGTTCCATCGCAACTCCGCGCGGATCAGCGTCCTGCGGCCGTGACGCTTTTCGAGAGCTTTTGACCAGGAAAACAAAAGAGCACTCGTCACCGGTAGGCGCACATGCTCGGTGGAGGCCTCATGGTCGGCGTGGGCGACGGGAAGACGGCCGTGAATCTCACGACGGCGCGCGCCACCTTTGAGGACAACTCGGCGCTCCTCGGCGCCAGCTTCTACTCGGAGACGGGGTTGACCGCGAGCTTCCGCGATCGCACGACCTTTTCGCATACGACGGGTATCTTCGTCACGTCGCTGTACGTGTGGATGGGCAACATCATCAACCTGGACGCGACGTCGGGCGTGCGCTGCGCCGTCGGCACGACCATCGCGTCGCAGTTCGTGGTCCCGGCGCCCTTCAATTTCACGCCGTTCGTCTTCTGGTCCAACAGCGAGCTTTGCCCCGACGTGAAGGAGAACGCGATCGGGAGCCTCTACCCGCCGTTCCTCGTCCGGACCCTGTCCGTCGGCTGCGAGCCCTGCCCGCGCGACTCGTACACGCTTGGCGCCGGGTCGTGGCTGGGCACGGAGAGACGCGACGCGGCCTGCCTGCCCTGCCCCTACGGCGCGACGTGCGAGGCGGGCGGAAGCGGCGTCGTCGCCAAGCCCGGCTACAAGGGCGAGGTAGCGGGCTCCGAGGGCGAGATCGGCGCCCCCGTCGTCGCCTTCGAGCGGTGCCCGGACGGCTACTGCTGCGGCGACGGCCGCGCGCCGTGCGCCGCCTTCGACAGCTGCGCGGAGCACCGCGAGGGCCCGCTCTGCGGCTCCTGCGCGCCGGGCTCGTCCGCGGCCCTGTTCACGGACGCGTGCCGCGACGACGGCGCCTGCGGCACGGCGGGCGGGCTCGCCCAGGTCTCCGTCTTGGTCCTGGCCGCGGCGGCGGCCTACGCGATCTACCTCTACTACCTCCCGGGCTCCTACGCGTCCGACATGAGCCTGTGCGTCTACTTTTGGCAGAACTGCTTCGTCGTGTTGCAGACGGGCGGCTCGCTCGACCGCCTCTCGGCCGACGCCGCGGGCGTCGCGCGCGCCGTCGGCGACGTCGCGCGGGTCCGGCTGTCCCTCGGCGGGTCGCGCGGCTACTGCCTCTACGCGGGCGCGACGACCGTCGCCATGATCGGGCTCAACTTCGTCATGCCCGTCGCGGTCCTCCTCGCGACGCTCCTGCTCCACACCGTCGCGCGCGCCGGCGGCCGGCGCGCCGCGCGCCGCGACGGCGCGCTCGACGAGGCGCTCCTCGGCGGCGGCGCCGCGGCCGCCGCGCCGCGGCTCGCGACGGCGCTCGTGAACCTCGGCTTCCTGCTGCTCTCGACCTTTTTCAGCACCATGACGGCGCTGCTCGGCTGCGTGGGCGTCAAGGGGCTCGAGGGCGCGCGGCTCTTCGTCCAGGCCGACATCGCGTGCTACCGCCCCTGGCAGGCGCCGCTCTTCGTCGTCGCGGTGCTCGTCGGCGGCGCCTTCGCCGCGCCGCTGGCCGCGCTGTGCCTCGGCCGCGGCGCCGCGGTCGACCGCCGGCTCGAGGCGGTCGGCGGCCGGGCCTGGACCTTTTCGCGCGACGTCATGGCCGAGCCCTTCGAGCGGCGCCACGCGGCGTGGGGGAGCGCCATCGGCGCGCAGATCCTCGCGTTCGCGTGCCTCGCCGCCCAGCCCTGGGCCGCGACCGTCCGCGTGCTCTTCATGCTCTCCGTCTCCGTCGCCGCCGCGCTCGCGCACTCGCACGCCATGCCCTTCAAGAGCGCGGACACGAACTACCTCCAGGGCGCGCTCCTGACCGCGCTGCCCGTCTTCTGCGCGCTGCAGCTCCCCTGGAGCGTGACGTCGACGATCAACGCGCCCGTCGGGCGGGACGACAAGCTCCCCGTCATCGCGAACCGCTGCGCGAAGTGCTCCCTGGCGATCCTCGCGCTGCCCTGCGCGTGGGCCGCCGCGATGGTCTACCAGCAGCGCCACGTCTGGGACGACGTGGCGGCGCGGGCCGGCCGCGCGTCGAATTGGCTCCGGCGGCGCGTGCGGCGCCGCCCGCGGGCCGACGCTTCGGAGATTCGAATAAATTAGCGAGGCCTCTGCGGAAATCTCCGACGCACGCGAGTGCAAGACCCCCCCCCAAACCGCGACGTGAGCGAAGCAAATTAAGAGAGCGCGGGGGCGGCGCCGCGCGACAGTCTGAATACTTGCAGCAGAGACGCAAAAGAAAGTCGCATCGAGGACGGAAGCGGATGCGCGGGACGAGAGAAGGAGCGAACGAGGCGTCGCCGGTGATGCTCGTCCGCGGGGTGATGAAGTCGCCGCTCAGCAGTTCGTGAGCCGGCCCTTCTCGCCGCCGGAGCCGTTGCAGTCGCACAACGAAAAGCACTCGTCCTGCGAGTCGGCGGTGCCCCAGAGCGTGCGGGTCGTGCCGGACGACGGGCACCGGGGGAAGCAGTCCATCGTCTCCGGGGGCGTGCCGTGCTGCCCCGTATTGTAGTCGTCCCAGAGGCAATACTCGGCCGTGCCGGGGCCGATGCTCGTGGACATGCAGCTCTGGCAGCGGCTCAGGCACTGCGGGTCGTCGTCGACGGCCGCGGCGCGCGCGCCGTCGGGGAGCGGGTAGTGGTCGCACGCGGACGCGTCGCTGCCGTCGACGAAGAAGTTGAACGTGTTCCAGGTCGCGCAGCCCAGGTCCCAGGCGCTCCCCGCGTGCGCGGCGGCGTACTTGACCGTCGCCGCCACGGGCGCCGCGACGGCGGGCCCCGCGACCTGCGCCCACGCGTCGAAGTCCCGGAGCGCGGAGGCCGCGGGCGCGTGGCGGTGCGCCGACGGCCAGTAGCCGTCGGGCAGGAGGTCCACCCCGGCGACGACGGCGCCGCGCACGGCGGCGTCGCGGTAGTAGGCCGCGAGGATCGCCTCGTGGGACCGCAGGGCCGCGAACGCCTCCGGGAGGTCCGTGCGGTTCGCCGCCGCGGCGCGGAACCTACGCCGCGCGTCGGTCGCGACGGTCCGTCGCGGTCCCGGTCGCCGGCTCTCGAACGCCGCCGCGGATGCGGG